TATAATAAATGAAAGTTTATTTGTATTTTATATTGTACAGAATCGAACAATTCAGAATTAAACATTGCAAATAGTCTTCCTTCTTATTTTGATAATATAAAATAATTCCATTCTCATTAATTAAATCTAAAATTATAACTTTAATAAAATAATAAAACTCTTTAATTAGTGTTTAAAAATTCGAATTTTAGAGTAAAAAGTGCTTATACATTTGTCATTGAACTTATATCACGAAATCAATACCCCAATCCACTTTAACTACTAGATATTCATGTAAAAGTTAAAATATATGTATATATAATTTATTTATATTTTTTAAATAATTTATTTTACATATTTTTACTCGATAAACTTATTAAATTTATCGAATATATATAAAGGAATTAGCAATAAAGATACAATTCAAAATACTCCAAAAGACATCACAGCCTCAGGCCTCTGTACTTAAGAGGTGGGTTTATTTAAATTTTAATTAAATTTAAAATATAACCAAGTAAATTTTATAACTGAAACCAAATTTATGAGATTGTTTAAGCTTTAATTTACTTCAAATCGTGCTTTCAAAGGAGACGGAATGTATACGTCATCGAAATTGTTCATCTGGTATTTATTTATTATTGGCACATTTCTACTTAACGCATGGAAATTAGAAGGAAAAACAGTTGCTCAAGTGAATATTACAGAAAGCGAAAAGGTAAGGAAAAAATAAATATAAAGAAATTAACTATTGTTTTGGTTTATTCACTAAAGCTTCATTTAATTTACGAACTTAATACATTAAATCCAAGATTGTTATTTTATAATTAAGTTTTCAAACTGCAGACCAGTAAATTCCCACTGAAGTCCGTCTGTCCGTCCGTTTTCGTTAATTTCCAGAATGGAGTTAGAAAGATGAAAATCGAGACCAGATATGAAAAGCTAGGAGGTTCCGATTAATCATATACGAACTTCCGGTCTGAAGTCAAGCGGTCTTTTACATTAAAATATGATAAAAAAAAATTGCAACCGGCGTTGTGACGAAGTCACAACAATATATATTCGATTTCTGTATTTAACTTTTATTAATGGATAAAAAAAAAAACATTTTAAATTTAATAGAAGAATATTTAAATAAATTTAATCTATTTTAGAAAAAAATGTTAATTTATCGTGTGAAAACATTCTACCATTTTGACTTCACTATTATTTGTATGAACTGTTTTATTATTGGAGGGACGAAAACTGGTTTTTATTATTACTACCGGTTTACACTTTTGTTTCTAAATGAGAATTTATCAAAACTAATACAAAACAGTACAAAAACTTTTTATTATTTTGCAATTATTTTTAACTTTATTTAATTTTCACTGTCCGCTTTAATTTCCAATTTTTAAAATATCTAATCGCATTTCTTTATGTTATTGACAATAGACGTCTGTTAATAAAATTAATTAGTTTTTATTTTTAGCCTGTATTAAATAAGATAATATTTTAAAAAATATATAAAGTTGACTTCGAACATTGAAAATCCATTTAAACAATTTAGAGTATTCCCAATTAATCTTGCTGCAATCAGGAGTGGATCCAGAACTACCCATAAGGGAGGACTAACTCATAAATATAAAATATTTGGATAATTATTAAATAAATTAAAATTTTTTTGTCCATGAGGATGATTTAAGTCTCTATAACCCACCCTTTGTATCTGACACTGACTGTAATAAAATAAAATAAATTATGTGTATGTTATATTTAAAATTACTTTTAAAATTACATTTACATATATTGAAGTTATTCAATTCGGTGATTTTAATGAAATTACCCTTAGAATTTTATTCAAATTTTTCATTTTAGTACGTAGCTTAAAAGCTACGTACTAAATATATTTACGTACGTAATATATACGTAATATATACGTACGTACGTAATATATTTAGTACGTAGCTTAAAAGCTACGTACTAAATATATTAGAAAGGTTTCTCAACCGGTACTTTTATACATATTTATTAACATTGAAAGCATTTACCCTTCGCGAGTAATTTAAATTTCATATGTACAAACTCGATACCAAAGAATTAATTATTTAAAACACAGAATAAAATATTAATTTTATTTAAATAAATTGGAATTTATTTGAATATATTCTACAATATATATATAAATAAATATTTCGTATATATTGAAATATTTTTATATAATAAATTTAAATAATATTTACCGAAATTGTTTTAATTTTATTTATTATATTTTTTCAATTTTTTAGCTAATTATTCTGTGTTTCAAATATACGGAATAAATATAAATAAATAATTTAAATATTAATCTTAATAATAATCATATTCGGCGTTAAAATAATTATAATTTGTTTTTTTCCAGCAACGGATTAAAAGACAGCAAATAGAAGACGGTAAGAGAATATTTGTCATATAAATTTAAGTAGAATTTTATATTTAATTCCAAAATAATATAATTAATCAGGACCTAAAAACGTGGGTCTTAGGCAAAATATATTTTCAAACCCCAATGTTATAAAATACAACAATAAAAAATAATTTAGGACTGCATTTTATGTTAAAATAAATTAACTACCATGACCGTACACCATTTCGTATTTCTTTAAGTTTAATTTAAAAATATTCACAGTTTGAGAAGAGTGGGTTACGTGAATAGGCGAAATCCTTGTTTATTTATGCGTAAGATAAGTACTGATTTTAATGAGAATTACCTTAATATTACACAGTAATTATTAATCGATTAATCCATCACTTTTGCGAATGGCAAAAATAATTAAATATTGAATACAATATTTAAATAAAGTAAGTCAACCTACGAACCCATAAAAATAAATACAAAACGAAAGGGATTACATTCTAGTATAAAATTAATAATTTTGATTTATTAATTGAAAATCATACGAAAGTCATGACTATTTTATATACGGAAGATAGAGAAAATTTTAAAAAAGCACTCTGATCTTTGTATTTATTTATTTTGCTTAATTTTTTAAAGTTAAAAATGTTTTTCTCGCGTTAATTAAACTAAATTTAGAGTAAACGTAATTTTAACGTTACTTGGAACAGATCGTACAGTAGAGGAGATTTTAATAATTTTTGAATATATTTTCAGATGATCCTCCGGGTCTTTGCGATTTCGGTTCTGGATCTTCTTTACAATTTTGTGGTTGGAATAATCCTCCGAATACCTCGTCTCGTCTACAGTGGAAAACTGGACAAGGATTGACTGCATTTTGGTTAGGAGGACCCCGCACCGATCGTACGTCTTCCGACGAAAACGGTGAATAAATTCTCTTTTATCAAATTTACAATGCTTCAAACGACGCCTCATTGGGCTGCAATTTGAAAAAATTGTAGACCCATAAACCTATATATTGTAGACCATCTTCTGTCCTTTCTTAATCTCGAGAACGGAATTAGATAGATAAAATTCGAGATCAGATGTAGAAAGCTTAAGGGCAGGAGCCCCGAGTAACTATATAAGAACTTCCAGTACAAACCAGAGGTCACATTATTTTAATTTAAAACTTTTTCCCCAAAAGGAGTTAGATGATAGTCACGACTCTATTGTTAAAGGAAAATTATGATGTACAGGGACAAGACACTACTAACTTGAGATTTAGAGCATATATTTTAATTTAAAAGATCGCATAACTTCCGGTCTGGACTGGAAGTTCGTCTATAGTTAATCCGGCCTTCGGTCCTTAAGCTTTCCAAATCCGGTCTCGATTTTCGTCTATCTAACTCAGTTAGCCAGATTATGGAAGGACAGACGGACAGACGCTCGATATGAGAATATATAATAATAAGAAAAGTGCGACAATAGAAAAATATAAAGTACTAATCAATCAGTTTAAAAAAGTTAGTATAATGAATATAAAAATATGTTCAGTTTACTATGCTGGTTAGTTGCTAGGAGAAAGTCTAAAGTATATCGATTTATTATATATTGTGCATATTATATCAACACGTTGATGCGGAATATATAGGTCCAATCAGAACTTCGTATGACTTAGATTTTTCATTCAGGTCACTATACTTCTTGAATTTAATTTCTAAAGAAACGGAAACGACAAAGTTTAATAAACCTATAAAGAATTTTTATTCTTGTTGACAAAAACACAGTCTATCGTCCAATAGTATCAGAATCTGATAGATCACGTGCCAGTACGTTGGAATATCAAACTGCGCACTCTCTGGTTCGTACTTCCGTTTACACGGTCAGTGACATGGGCCAACCTAGCGAACATATTTTCAAGCCAAATATTTTGGCTGGTACAAACTTTTAAGTCTTTGGTCTCAGGCAACGATTTATTTGTAGGCCTACAAATTCGATTGCACGAGCTTAATTTATGGTGTGCTTTGGAAATACTTTTATTAATTATATATATATATATAGTATATATATTTGCTAGTATATACTATATATGCAAATAAGTAATGTAGTTGCTTATACAGTATAATAAAATTAATGAAAGTATATATATATATATATAGTATATAGATAATACAGTAGTCTGAATGACTACTGTATTATCAAAGTATTTTTGTTCTGCCTCTAAAATTATTTTTTATCATTGTACTTGCATTATTGGTGAAGCACTGTTCATATTGGTACTGGTAACAAAATCGTTTGTTAAAACTGTGGTTTTCGGTAAACCGCAGTTTCAACAAGCGATAAAATCTATATCATTGTTGCGGTATTATTGTGTTTTACTTGCCATTTTGACTTTCAGCTGACAATAAAGTACAAGTACTTAGATTTAAGATTCCACACAATCGATGTATTACCAGCAGTGACGCGTTATGATCTCATGGGGCCGGGCGAATTTGAATTACGGGATCCCATTTACAGTGTTTTGATTTCAGATGTTTTTCTTCGAGAGAGTATTTTGGGTAAAATATTTTCTTGCAAAAGATTGATTTGGAATACCAGGCAATTGAACTTTTAGCCCATAGAATAACGCGCCACTCATTATCAGAATATTTCAATGTAACATTATAATTTGTATGCGGCATCCTCGACTATTTTAAAATGATGCCATGCATTACTCCTGTTTAAATTTTAAAAAGAAAACAAGGCATAAACTAGCATCAATTAATTTTAAAACGGTAATTTATTCAAATGCTATTAGGTTTCAGCGTTTACCAACATAGAAGAAACATTAACCTCTATTTTTTGTGTGGGAATAATACGTCATGCAGGCGTATTCGTGAATCTCGTGTGATATATACTGTACTACTTCATTAAAATTAATAAAAAGGAATACTAAAGAATCAATTCTATTGAATTCGAAGGCTTTGAAACCGGTTTGAAATCTGATATTTAAAAAGTTCAAGAACTAACAAATTAAATTTATAAACAACTGTCTTTATAGTATAAATTTATTAATTTCGTAAATTTGTCATATTTAAAATTGTGACTTCATTACTTATTAGTTTACAAGATTTCTACGATCAAAAATGGATCGTGTGGTTTAATTGTGAATTCTATATTGTTATTATTGATTATAGGTGGTTACGTTTTCTTCGAAACATCCTTCGAACCTCCAGACACGAGCCAAATTTCTACAGGAGTTCGACCGGGCCAAGATATTTCTCTTACAAACAACAGACCATATACTCCAACTATCAATAATAATCAAGTCGACATGAATTCTCCGGATTCACCTAGAGAGAGTGCCATATTAATTAGCAGAAATATCAGTCGTACGGGTCCCGGAGGACTGTGTCTCAGTTTTTTCTTTAGGATAGAAGGACTTAGTGCCGACATGTTATCGATTTTGTTACGAGATATGGAAACTAACGAAAATTCAACTCTGTGGGAAAGCAGAGATATCTTACGAGAAGATTGGCAGAAAGGAGAAATTGCCTATACTTATGGAGGATTACATTTAGTATATATCTTTATACATATATTAATATTTTTCTTTTTTAAGTATCATTCAAATTACTAAATATCTATTTTTAGATTTTGTTTGAGGCGATTCCTAAAAAAATTACAGATCCAGCACGAGCATTTCGTGGCTACATCGCTCTAGATGATATTCAGTTCCAACAATTGGATAAAGATGCCCCCGATAATTGTCTCGGTTTGTAAATTATTCTTTTCTATAATTTCAAATTCAATTTTATAGTAAAATTTTAATGGTAAATTCGTTAAATTTAGGTCACTGCACATTTGAAGGAGGATACTGTGGATGGATTAATGCAGATGACGATGATTTCAATTGGGAGTTAGGAAGAAGTAGCCATAGTTTCTTAACGGGTCCGTCTAGAGATTTCAATAATTTCGGGAAAGGTGATCAAACGGGTAAGATACGATTAAATTCAGTGTTATAATTGTAGTTAATGTTATAGTTATTTTAAAAACTTTATTTCAATTTACGTTTATGTTATTTAAAAGGCTATAGATGTTGAAATATTATAATTGTTGTAAATTTATAAAGGAATTCCTGTATTATAAAGTTTGCGCACAACGTATTTTACATTATAAAAATGTCTGTTATAACTTTACGCATAATGTACCAGTATAAGCGTAAGAAAAGTGTTACATTAGAAATTTGTTTTATAAAATAGCGGAACCAATCATATTTGATCCTTTATTGGCGTCAATGCATCGTCATCGTTACGCACATCCACATAAGAACGAGTTTGGTGTTTGTCAGCCATATTGTTTTTGCATCGATACGTGTGTTTGTGATCTTTCTTTTAGTTATTGTCTGTTAATTATTTAATTGTTAATGAGACGACATAATCTTTCATATCTCCGGAGAAAACAAAGCGAAACCTTCAGTGGCATCCATGTTTGTTATATTTTTACGACATAACGGACTCAGATGCGCAAACGCCATCTAACGCTATCGGCCGATTGCAGAGACAGAGTTTACATTAAACGACGTTTACACATTGGCTCTTACTTACTTCGCTATTACTCCCCTGTTTTAGGAGTCGTTCGGCCAATTGGATTATTTCTTCGTGACGTCAGAAATGGTCGTCAGCTATATTCCGAAAGCTTAAGGCCGTCAAAATCATTGTTCGGCAATTAATGACAATCCTTTTCTATTTCGTTATTTAATTTCGTTGCCAATACGATTTAAAATATGAACAAATCCATATTTAGAAAATTTATACCGAATTCGAAATTCGTCTTCGGAATAGATTTTTAAGGAATTATTTCGACATCTTATTACTGTCGAAATGAATAATTTTAAATATTTTATTATTAATATTACATTTTTATATCTATAAACAGATTTCTGTAATTATTAAAATTGTCTCGTTTGTTTAACAGTACAACGACCCCGAAATGCATTAACGTTTTATAACCGACACGATACTCAAATTGTAAATAAATGCATCTGATTTAATTGTAGTTTTAAGTCTTCACCCATTTGAATATCGAAATTGGAACATTTAAAACAAATTTAAAGTATTTCATTTTGTTGTTTTTGTTCCGAGCAGTTAATTAATTAATGAGTAATTTTGTCGATTCGTACCGTTTACAACATTTATCAAAGAAACGATGTCTGTTTTTATCTAAACTTTTCCACAAACAAAGCTACCACTCGAATTGAAAAGCCCTCTAAACCTGCTGTCGAGTGAGTCTAGAAAATAGGTCAAATAACTTGTTTCTAATCGCTGTCTTGTAGACAGCGATTAGAAACAAGTTATTTGACCTATTTTCTAGACTCACTCGACAGCAGGTTTAGAGGGCTTTTCAATTCGAGTGGTAGCTTTGTTTGTGGAAAAGTTTAGATAAAAACAGACATCGTTTCTTTGATAAATGTTGTAAACGGTACGAATCGACAAAATTACTCATTAATTAATTAACTGCTCGGAACAAAAACAACAAAATGAAATACTTTAAATTTGTTTTAAATGTTCCAATTTCGATATTCAAATGGGTGAAGACTTAAAACTACAATTAAATCAGATGCATTTATTTACAATTTGAGTATCGTGTCGGTTATAAAACGTTAATGCATTTCGGGGTCGTTGTACTGTTAAACAAACGAGACAATTTTAATAATTACAGAAATCTGTTTATAGATAAAAAAATGTAATATTAATAATAAAATATTTAAAATTATTCATTTCGACAGTAATAAGATGTCGAAATAATTCCTTAAAAATCTATTCCGAAGACGAATTTCGAATTCGGTATAAATTTTCTAAATATGGATTTGTTCATATTTTAAATCGTATTGGCGACGAAATTAAATATCAAAATAGAAAAGGATTGTCATTAATTGCCGAACAATGATTTTGACGGCCTTAAGCTTTCGGAATATAGCTGACGACCATTTCTGACGTCACGAAGAAATAATCCGATTGGCCGAACGACTCCTAAAACAGGGGAGTAATAGCGAAGTAAGTAAGAGCCAATGTGTAAACGTCGTTTAATGTAAACTCTGTCTCTGCAATCGGCCCATATGTGTTTATAATTATAACGCGTGGTAAATATAAAGTAAAATATGTTGTGCGCAAACTGTTTTTTCCATAACAAATATTCATAAGCTATAAAATTTTCTCTTCATAAAACAAATGAAGTAAAGATTTATAAGCATTACGTAGACATTTCTTTCGGAATTACTGAATAAAATTCATTACTCCTAGGTAAATTCTAATACAATTGTTAATAGATTACAGATTAACAGTGTATTATACGAATTTCATTTTATTTTGAAATACAGTATCTTTCATTTATATGATGTTGTTGCGTTTAAGACACATTTTAAAACAATTTAAATAATTGTTCTAAATTAAAATTTTGAACAATTTTAATTTTATTAATAAGAAATATATAGAAAATTTTTGTGAAATCCGTTTTTCCTTGTTTTTATTAATAAACCTCTGCGTTTCGTATTTAAATCTAATCTAATAATAAAAAATATGTTTATTATTAGAAAAGATAAAAAATACGAGGAAATTTGGTCTTCGTTTATAGCATATTTACGGGAAAAGAATTTGTAGAGTTACAATTGATCCCTCATTTTCAGGTTGAACTGTATTTTTTTTACTTATCATAATTTCCATCATTTGTTATCACATTGAGTATCAACTCAGAATATTGTATAAGCATATCGTACTGACCGTATCTATTAAATATATTTTTTTTATATTATAATAGAAAAATAGCCAATAATAATGAATTAATTTCAATATGATTAGGTGGCTTTGTCTTTATCGATGCATCTTTTCCCAGAAGACCAGGAGACAAGGCTCGACTGACCAGTCCTGCGTTTCAAGCAACCGGTAATTTCATTTAAAATATTAATAATGTAATTTTAAATGTGTTGAACGAAATTCTATTTGGTTCAGGCGATAATAATCCAATATGCATGCACTTTGCCACCCACATGTTTGGCAACGGCGTTGGTGTTCTTCGAGTTTTGCAGAAAGTTCAAGGGGGAGAAAAGGATCGCGTCATCTGGGAAATAAACGGAGAAGCTGGAAATAATTGGTACACTGCCCAAGTTTCTGTTTCTTCTGCAACACCGTATCAAGTTAGTAAAAACCATTTTTGCATTCGTTAATATTAATAGAATAGAATAACTGAACCATTGAAAATTATTTTTTCCGTCTAAGTTATTCTCAAATTTCATTTCTCATAAGAAATATGTTTGGGCATCATTCATATTGCGATTAAATTTATATTATATAACGTTAAATTAAGATCCTTTTTCACAGAAAATATTTAAAAATTGAAATTTGACATTCTAAATATATAACATTTTCTAATATTGGCATCAATTTAGCTCATTAATGCTCTATTGAATAGCAAATTGAAATTTTTATGGATGGTTGATTTGCCGCTGGGATACACAATTAATAGGCGATCTAAACTTGCTACTTCCATTAATAAAAATATCTGCAGCGTTTGAAACTTTCGTAGTTTTTCTTTCTTTCTTGCTGATTTAATATTTATTTAGATGTAAATTTTATATGAATTTATTAACACGTGTTAATAAAATCGTGTAAAAAGTTAAACTTAAATAAATAATTAATTAACACATATTTTACAGTTGATATTTGAAGGAATTGTTGGAGTAAATTCCCTGGGAAATATTGCTATTGACAACATTTCTTTCCATCCGGGAACTTGTCCTAGTACGTATTATTTAAAAGTTTTCAGAAAAATTAACGTTAAAATAATATGATAACCTATTTGTTAAATCTTCATTTAGTGACGCTTTTGTTCTTACTTACAGTGCATTCTAATTAATTTTTAGTGATTATTTTTTTAAATATTGATATGTTTTTATATACTTTATTCGTGGAAATTGGCAACGACAAATATATTTTAGTATATTATTTTTCTCTTGAAATTCGTTTCCTTTCTGGTACTTGAAAAAGGCCAACGGCCGCCATAGTGTCTTTTGAGATTAAAGATATAAAATGCTTAATATTATTATTAACGAAATTATATTATTTGAATTAAATAAAATGTTTTAATTATCCGTAATTAATTTTTATTTGTATTTCAGTAACGCCTCAAGCTGCTGCAACATATCCTGGTAATTTTATGTAGTTATGTTTTCCGTATTCAAATTCTGATGTACAGTACAGTACAGTAGACTCTACCATATCCGAACAAATCCTAATAAGGGAGTGTGGTAATTTATAAATAAGACTGTAACATATATGCCTACTGTATGTATTAAAAACTGTTTATTTAGACGTTGAAGATTATTTTTCTCGATTAAAATTACTATTTGTTTTGAAAGTATTGTGTTAAAGTTGTTTGTTTTGCTCTCGATTCGCTGACGACCTGTTACGTCACACCAATGCCTCATTATTATGACGATTTATAGTGGTTAATGTATTGTGCTCTTCTACAAGCTTCGAGGCATCTTAATTTAAAAAAATTTTTAAATGTACACACTGCAGTATGGGAAGGAAAGATTCGGGGTAGTATACAATATTTTCGAAAATTTTTGGTCGTCTTTGATCAGTCCGGATATGAGAGGGCTGATGTGTGAGTCTATTGTAATTATGTATAATCGGTAAATTTAATATATATTACCTTATATTATAAATAATTTTTATTATACTTTTACTATTTATTAACTAAAATAAATTTGATTTTTTACGCTCTATTGATTTATACTTAGGGGATTGTAACTTTGAAGAAGATACTTGTGGTTGGATTAATGCACCGCCTTCAGAAGGTGTCGATGATTTTGATTGGATTAGGCAATATAGTTTCAGTGTTAACAGTCCACCGAATGACCATACCAAAGGCACTTCGGATGGTAATGCAACCGAATATTTTAAATTTTTCTCTTCCTTTTATTTTAACATATAACAATTCTTTCTTTAAGGTTACTATATAAATCTATCGAGTAACTCGGAACTACCACAGAGAGGTGGGACTCGATCTTGGTTGATCAGTCCAAAGTTAACACCTTCTGGTAATTCTAGGTGCATTTCTTTCTTCTATTACATGTATGAAAGAACGATAGATCCACTCGGACCTAGTTTAGGAAGTTTAAAGATATATGCCAAACCTTCGTCTTCGGAAGGTACTAGTCAGTTGACACCGATTTGGAGACTTAGCAATCACCAAGGACAGCGTTGGTTAATGGCGAGAGCACCTATTAATTTAGGAAAAGATCGCACGGCACCTACTGAAGAATATCAAGTGACATAACTCATAGTTTATTTCTTGGATGACACAATACTTTTCTTCGAAGTCAACTCGATATTAATATTTTCAATTATTATTTTTGAGTAGATAATCATAGAAGGAATTTGGGGTGACGGCAGGGTTGGTCATATTGCATTAGACGATATCAGTTTTTTTGATGGAGATTGCTCGAGTAAGTATAGTTAAGATGAATGCCATAAATATTTTTTGTGTCTGTTTGATTGTTTTACTTTATTTTAAGCACAACCAAGTAAAGGAAGAGCGATCAATGGTGGGTAACAAAAGATTAATAAACAAAGTATATTTTCGAAATGCCAAGTATTTCGAACTGGTTAATTTATTTACGATTAATCACGATCGACTGGAATTTTTCCAAACTTGCATTTAGGCGAATGCTCTTTCGATCGAGATATGTGCGGATGGAGAAATGGTACTGAAAAACAAACCACGTCACAATTGAGAATGAGACCACATGTTCTGGGTAAACAAATGAGTTTAATTACAGGTGAAGCACTTCATTGGCGTCTGGCCACCTTAACTAACAGGCCAGCAAATCTTCAGGATCACACATTTCGCGCACAAGGTAAGAGTTTTTAATTTAAATAATTTGCAGTAGGCCTATAATTCATATTTATGAATTTCTAATATTATTTCAATAATAACCTGTGTAGTAGCTTATGAAGATTAGGGTCTTACTAAATCTTAATCAGCAATGATAATTTAATATATAATTTCAGGTGGATATTGCTTTTTCGATATATTCAATCAAGTAACGCCACAGAAGCCCATCTTGAGGAGTCCCGTTTTCGAATCTAGTAGTGATGACGATGCTAGTTGTATGAGTTTCTGGTTTGCCCCTTTTGGACGTGGTGATTCAACAACTTTGTCGATTTATCATGTGGATGCTACCGATCCCGAAAATGGAGAAAAAACTCTTGTGTGGAAACTTGCCACTCAAAGATCTGATAACAACAGACCCGAATGGTCATACGGACAAGTGAGCATAGATACAGGCGCGGATCACATGGTAAGAATGCTTAATAGTATTTTATTGATCCAGAATATTTACGTCACTAATTTTCATTGTTTCGTCTAGATTGAATTTGAAGGCGAAGCAACCGATGGTGGTTTTGCGCTCGATGATATTACGTTTTATGGAGGAAACTGCCAAAGTAATTTCCTTCTTATTTATTTTAGTTTATTTTTAATCTTTAATTTCTACGACATGTAAACTTTATGTTTTATTAAACTTTATATTTAGCTCGTCCAGAGAGAGCGAGTGTGGTACCAGCTGGATCGGGAGTGTAACTGAAAAACTACAAAATGCATTACAGAAAATAGCGTACGCTTTAATATTAGGATATTTTTTAGAAACTATAAATATCGATAAGATATTTTTTACCAATAATGAAAATATATCAATTTTTCTTTACCATTTCATAAACTCATATAGTAATTTTTAACGTTTGAAATTTCTTATAAAGGTTTTAATAAACGAAAGAATTCTATAATTTTTAAACAAGATGGAAACAAATTTTGAATAATAGCCCTGTGTGTGCTTCATCATAAGGCTAGGGTTGCCAGCTATTATAAGGCTAGGGATAAAATCAATGGCAAAATGAATTCTTCCCGAAAGACATTGGGATGCTTCAATTCTAAGACATGCAAGATGTGTATTTTTACTCTGCCAGTGACAAAAATACATTTAAAATGTGGGAAAAGATATACTTCACTATAGGAACAGTTTTTTAGAATACAGATGTCATGTCTCTAGATGGTAATTAGAAAAATCCGGGAAATCCTTAAAAAAAAACTGGATAGCTGGCAACTTTACATAAGGCATACATAGATATATCCTAATTTGTTCAAATAATGGTTTAAATTTTAAAGTATGAATTTTTGAAGAAGCAATTTCAGTATACATAAATTTCTGTTTGTACAGTTTTTTAAAGTGTCAATCGAAATTAAGTCTTTGAAATTCGCTTGAAAAGAAAGCTTCATATTATTTTCATTGAAGTGATTACGAAACGCTTTCCATGTATATGTAAAATTAATTTCATATGTTATTTAATAATATAACATGTACAGTATATTTAAGTATTTATTTATTAGCGTATAGAATTAAAAATTATTAAACGTAATGTATTTAAATAGAAAAATTTAAATAAATTTTTAAAATTTCATTCAAAGTCACAGACTATTTTTAATAAAACAATACAAAATATGTGTTAATTAAAATACCTATCGAATAAATAATTATAAAGGATAATATAAGAATAGATTTTTTCTTAAATTTCCTTTCTGCTAATTTTTCTATTTTATATTTGCATCCTCCGGTATTTATTTTTTTGCGATCAAACACGTCTTCAAACGGGTAAGGCCCTTGAACACACTTCTTTTGCATTTCGAGACTTGCATTAACCTCTGTCCTTTTACAACAAGACAATGGTACCACCGTATTAGTATTATATCTTCTTTCTTCAAACCAAAACAATGTGTTCAGCCAATCTTTGTAGTAATGATGTCCGCAGCACTCGAGATGTTTCTGTAAAGTGTTGAATATGATTAATTCCTTCTGACTTTCGTACATTTCGTTCATTACAATTCGTATTTTCATTTCCAATTTCAGTAGAAAGTTGGTATTCCACGAATATATAAAAACAGCTGCAGTTATCAAAATAGCCACTATAAAAAGCAATAATAAGGAATATCCACAAAGAATCAATCGATTAAGGGACCAAACTGCCCAACAGCCAATTAATCCGAAAATTTGAATCAATTTGAATGACGATGAGACTATGAGCCTTGAACGATTATATTTATCACCAAATAATTTATCCAAACCTATGAAATAATCTTCTTGCGAGAATCCGTGATTTGCGAGTGAAGCAATAATTGAAGATGTCCAAATAATAAAAATATAAATAAACACGAAAAATTTACAGAATCGAACGTTTAAAGCCATTTCCAGTTCTTTTTGATTTTTGAAAAATCTTCAGTTAAAAACGTGATAAACTAACTTGTAAGATATAATTTAGAACATCAAAATAAAATAGAATTAATTTTTAAATTTTAACAATTTTTTTTCAAATCGCAGCCCAATATCAAAAATTCTGCAATAAAATTATTTCTTAAATAAATTCAATTAAAATTCGATACCGATATTATAAACCGTTAGATTACAACATTCGCATCAAATCTGGCATCAAAGGATTACACTTGGAAAATGGATTCGAGAAGATGCTAATGTTTTACTTAAATTAGCACCGTTGAGGAATTGAAGCGCTCACCAGTGGACCTCTACACTAACACGATAGTTGTCCGTTTCCAAGCAGAACCGGGATTCGTCATTAAAGACGATACGCTACCAGTCCGTACCTATCCATGCTTCTCTGTCAAATCGAAGTGCATGCAAACGAAACCGGCGATGTTGGGGTAATAATGGCAGGACGTTTAGCAGACGCCGTGAAAACAAATTTGTTTCTGCTAGTCGCTTGCCAATGATACGAGAAGAGAGAATGTTCTGTAGCAACGTTTCAATCTATCTCTGGATGGTGGAAACATTCGTCTTCGCACCTGCTTATTCTTGTCTCACGATCAGATGTTTGTTTCGCCTAGTGATCTTAGGTATCTAGTCTGCCAATGCCTAATACCTTGCACTGTCAAGTCGGAAAGCCCAGATAGCGAGCAATTCCACCGTCTTGCTTTCTTCAGTCCGATGATGTCTCCTTTCTCAAGCTTCGTCACCTGTGTGTATTCTCTTTCACTGCATTCATACAGGCATGCTTGGTGTTCGAAAACTTGCAATTAAAATTCTGACCAGTGAGTCTGAGTGAGCCTTTTTATTGCGATGATATCGGAGTAGTGATTTTAAGGCACTTTTGTGTGTTACGTGGCTTAAAATTTGACCAAAACGGTAATCATTTACATACCTGTACGCCGAATCAGTAAAATTCAGATTAAATATATCATAATAAGAATTTACTGTTTCAAATCTATCTTCTATTGTATTAGTTGAAATATCTAGCAGAAAACTGAAAAATTCAAGTTTAAATTTTTATATGGAATCAATTATTTTGACGGTCGGATGATCGAGGCGGTTAAGGCATCTGAGTACAGCTTTCAGGATCAGGATCACAGAAGGCCGATTAGAATCACAGTTTCATCTACGGCACGTGATCTATATTCTTTCAATCACACAAATCTAACTTCACACTCCAGCAAACCGGAACTTCTACTATTATTTCTCTTTCTGGTTTAAAGATTTAATCGACAATTTCGAGTACTTAAAGGCATTTTTATTTAAAATTTTGTCGTAATCTGTATATATTTTGATAGTCGTTATATAACCATTAAATAATTTCCCAACTAGTTTCGTGTTTATAGTTGTTTTAGTCGAAAACAATTCTTTTTTTGAACGATATCAATGGCGTGGTTCTATTTTAATTTTTAAAATTTACTTTCTTAAATTTTAAAGTAATTTTTTAATTAACATTTTTTATTGTCAGTCTCGCGCATAATCAATCAACGCCATTAATTTAAAATAATTTTTGTTATAAACTTTGTAATAAAATAATTACATTTTATAATGGTTTTTAAGCATTATAAAATTTTAAGCAAGGCTGTGCTGTATTTTTACATTTTTTTTTACATTTTATAATGTTTTGGTTTTCTTTTTTTTATTTTCTTTAAGAGGCACTTGCTCCCTCGTCTCTTCCTTGATTGCTGTTGCAGACAATACAGTATATGATATACTGTATATATTAGCGGATGATTGAGTCGCGCGCCAACTAGAATTTAAATAAATAAAGAATTTTGTTAATGTTACTGATATAGTATAATGCTGTATATAAATTTGAATGTCGCGTTTTTAAGAAAAGACTTTTTTAGTTTTTCTGCCTTTGGGGTACTAAGAGGGCTTTTTAAAAGTCTATCCACGAGTTTTCAGAGAAGGTTTAATTAATTAAACTCTCTCTGAACCTTATTAAACCTTAATTAAATCTTAAACTCGCCATTAATTAATTAAGATACTGCAAGACCCATCAGTGGTCAAGCGGTTCTGTTTCCTGAACACTGGGAGTTCGGACTTAGATTCGCGCGTGGGCTGGCCACGTGGAGTTTTCTGGGTTTTCTCCACGTCTGTAAAGCGTAAATAGGGACCAGTTACCCTTGCAATACCGTCCGAAAGGCATTATTCCCTGCGTAACAACCATCATAAACGCATACAAATAGAGGAAAAGGTGGTATTATGGAACCCCTCCATTTCAAACTGATAATGAAGGCGAACTGTAGCGGATTGTGGCTGAACTAAACTAGGCAGACATACATAGCAATAAGAAAACCCGTTTCACTTCAGTTAAACGGTTGTCCCTAGTGAATTAGCATATTTGTGTTTTTCGAAATTCGAAAGTTTTGAATGGTAAGATTCACTTACCATTCAAAACTTTCGAATTTCGAAATTATTAATTATTTCTAAAATATAAATCGTGTAGTTGTAGATTCACTGCTGCATGTATTCCGTCCCAGAGACTTAGGGGTACATATTAATCTGTGTGTTCACGTTTTTTAAAATTTGGTCTTGACAGACATAAGCTAATTCAAGATGGTAATGCATGAAATACGAACCCCATTGGTGCTTTTAATATGGAATATGTCTAACTTTTGTAAAAGTATGTGATAGATGAATGAAAAAATAAAAGGAAAGTGAAAAAAAGTAAAAATAGATACCTAACACTATAGGAACATTATATTTGTCATTTTTGTAAATGATTAGCTTCTTTGTACATTTCTTTATTATTAAATCATTTTTGCGATAAAATACATTGGAGTAAATAATTTTGTAATTATTTAACATTTTTTGAACTTTCCTATTTGTTTTTGGATACATTAAAGCATTTTTTGAAAATATACGTTAAGGTTCCATATTACCACCTGGTTTTCCCTAAGCCTACTTTCTGACTTTTTGTACAGAAGACTTCAAAAATACGTATAGTTACACTAACGAAAAATCCAATTAGGAACATTTAGTTTAATAATTACCAGTACTTTTCGCACAAAATATGTGGGTGTAGTTATGATATCTTGCTTACAATTCACTATAATGAAAATGGAGTTCCATAATACCACCTTCTCTACTATTACATGACAATTACGTCACACTTTACCATGAGGCAGCAACTAGCCGATACAGACAAGACAAGACAAAATACTGCAAGAACTACGGAACTGCAGAACTATACAATTGAGAATATAATTGATTATGAAATTACTAAAATAAATTAGTTTATAACGTCCACTTTGTTAGTAATTTTAAGGGTTTTTATATCTTAAATTATAAAAAGTATTTTCGATCGTTTTTACACAAATTTAAATTTGTATTTGTTGTGAAACAGTGTTCTTTTCCTATTGTTGACTTATTAAACACTGACTTTATAGTGTATTTTGAAGACACGTGGCAAATTTTTCATCGTTTATCTTTATTTAGTTCGATAAACGATGAAAAAATTTGCCATGTGTTTTCAAAATACACTATAAAGTCAGTGTTTAGTAAGTCAACAAATTTCAATTTTTTCTAACTAAAAGAAAAAGGCCTTTTACGTGCATCGTGGGGAAATATCTTTTAAAACTGATAAAAATTTAATTTAAAATTAAGAAAATCTGAATCCTATATTTTTATTATTATTATTATTATTTTTTGGTTCTAGAAAATAATTGGCAAAATTGCCTTCTGTAATTTTACTAACATTTCACTGTTATTATCTATCGGGAAATATTTATATCGCCGTTTAATTCATAAAGCACTGCAAAATATTCACAGATTATCATAGAATTAAGTCTGATGCAAAATTTTCGGATTTTTGCATAGTTTCTTCTACAAACTTGTTTTACTAATTTATTTTCATCGATTAGTACTATAAAATCGCGGAATAATGACACGAGAGAATGCCATCTTTGGAATATCCAGCTATATTTGAATATTCTATTAAGAGTAAAGCTTATGATTACCAAGAAATATTTAATTATAGGAGTCTTAACTCTTATAATTATTTTTCAAGTGGTAAAGTAGGTAAAATTTTAATTGATAAATTGTTACAAAACATTTGTTCCCTTAAGACAAATGTAGAGCCATCACAAACTCTATCTGTAAGTAATCATTTTTTTATGGTCTTATGATGGCAAAGTTATCTAGATGGATGTACAGTACAGTACATGCATAACTGGTTACTCATTTTCCTAAATTTTCATCATGTGGAAATGAACGGTCGAATACGTGGACAATCTCGATGCATCACATTTTCGTATGTATCGCGTACACGAAACACTCTGGCCATTATGGCAGCCAACCCTTTACAATATCTACCCGAAGTGGCTTTATAAGGCAAGTTGCCAATGAAAAAAACTAAAAATTGCAGAACTATAACTTGAAGTATCTTGCTTGCTTGGTTGCTTGCCGCCCTCTGGCGGTGAAGTTAGGCGTTAGCTGCTTTGGCTATTTCGCCCCGTGTAGAAGTTATTCCAGGTGAGTGGAGTTGGGTTGTGAAACAGATGGTGATCTACAGTTGAAAAACTTGAAAAGACTAGAAGAGACGATTGGAAAAATCAGTACACATGTCGGGGTGGATGAGTTGACTGTTAGTCGACCGTTGGCAGTTAAAAGGAGTGATGAGGAAAGTCAAAATGATTTAGTAGTTGTAGGTATTTTTGTATTCATTAAAAAAGGTCGATAAGGATTGGAGGCAAACGTCTTTCGGGTATAATTGGAGGCAGTCGCTGATGTTGAGAAGATGATTTTTTGTTAGACTGTTGTTGGAGAGGATTCTACCCCTGATGTCGTCAAATTTTGAGCACTCGTTGAGGCGGTGTATGGTTGTATCAGTTTTATTTGGGCAGTATTTGCACTGGTTAGTGGTGCAGATGTTGCGGGTATAAAGAAAGTGGTTAGTAAGCAACGAGTTTGTTCTAGCGCGATTAATGAGGACGTTGATACGGCGGTCCGTGATGTCAGGAATAGAGATATCTGATGTGTTAGAGAGCCAAGGGTAGAGAGATTTTTTGGGGTAGGTGTTCCATTTGTTGTTCATATATTTCTCGTTGTCGGACTTGATGAGAGAGTTGAGGTCTTCGGCAGTAATATAGTGGGTAATGGTAGAGTTGGGGGGTTGGTTTTGGCGAGTTTGTCCGCTTGTTCGTTGATGGGGATGCCTTTATGAGCCGGGGTCCAGATAAGCTTGGTCTGAAGGTTAAGGATATGCCTTTGGTTGAGGATGGTGTTAATGGTTTGGATTAAGGTAGAGGACTTCTCATGTTGAGCGTGGAGAGCCTTAAGAACCGATTTCGAGTCCGAACAAATGATGGCATCTTCCTTATTGTGGGTAACATGATGGATTGCCTGGAGGATTGCGTATCCTTCCGCAGAGAAAATCGTGGCCTCAGGGTGGAGAGAGAAGTGGGCCGTAATGTTGCCTTTTTTTGTCAATAAAAGCCGCTGTCACGGTGTTGGAGGTTTTCGACCCATCAGTGGCAACGATGGTGTTGATATTTTGCTGCTCCTCCCATTCTTTAAAGGACTGTTGGATGAAAATGTCTGGGAGATTGGAATTTTGGAAGGCAAGGTCGTCGAGATGGATGTTGTGGATGGAGGTGTTGGTGATGCTGGACGGCTTTAACGGAAGATTAGATGGTTGAATGTTATGCAGGAGAAGCCATGAGCGGGTGAAGTGAATGAACGGAATCTTGACAAGAGAGGCGCCAGAATTGTTGTGTATGTTCTGAATCATGGAGTAGAAAAGGAGGTCAGAGGTAGCTTTCTTGACTTAGGTGCAGTATTGTTTAATGATGCATTTGTGGAAGCGGCATTCGAGGGAGGTTTTATTTGCGGCGCGGAGTGTAACGGTGTTGTTAGTAGAGATGGGAAGACCCAGGCTGTGTTTAATGTATTGGGTTTGGATGGACTCTAAGGTGTGGCGCTGTGTCTTGGTGAGAGTGGCAATACTGGGGATGGTGTATGTAATAATACTACCAATGGTGCTGTTAGCAATGCAGAGGATGTCAGTCGGGTGGCCGCCTGTATTCTTATTGCAGAAGATTTTGAAAATGTTAAGAAGTTTCCTGCATTTGTTGTGGATGTATTGAACGTGTGTATTCCAAGAGAGATTAGCAGTGATAAAAATGCCAAGAGTTTTTATTTTGTTCACCTCGGGGATGATCTGGCCTTGGAGAGAAATGTCCTGGTTGTTATGGATGTTGATAGGGATGCGGAGAATAGCACATTTTTGTGGTTGGAACCTGATATCATTGGTGCTGGCCCAATTCTCAAGGGAGTGGATGAAGTGGGCAGTGCTATGACGTAAATTGGTGGGATTGTTCTCGTAAATGATGACAGTAATGTCGTCGGCGTAGACGTAGAGAAGTGTGTGATTGTTTTCGAGTTTAAAAATATCGCTCATAAAGAGAGCAAAAAGGAACGGCGAGACAACGCTGCCTTGAGGAATACCTCTGCATTGGGTGAGTTCTGAAGAGGTATGACCTCTCCATTTAACCATAACCTGTCTGTTATGTAAGAAATTATTTAACCAAATGAGGGAGTTGCCTTTGAGACCTTTGGCAATCGCTTTGCGGAGGATGTGGTGATGGTTGACAGAGTCGAAGGCTTTGTGTATGTCGAGGGTGAGGATGTTGAGGAGTTGGCCTCTATGACGAAGAGTGTAAATCTGGATCATCATGTGGGTGAGGAGGTCTCTTGTCCCCTTGCCCGGGAGACCACCAAAGTGTTTATAGTTAAACTTGAAGTATCTTAATGGCTGCCGAGACACGCCCTCATGTGGCAGAATTCAAAAACAAATTCTGGAAACTTGTAAATGTGACATTCACAATTATAATAGTATGTTAAAATAATTGAAAGTTAAAATAATTGAAAATATTGAAATACTGTAATATACAAATTTTTTTGTTTTTTTGCTAAAAATGTCCAGGATATAGAAAAAGTACTTAATATTTCAATTTTGCTGAAATAAAAAATAATATTGTTAGAAGTACTGTATTGTAAAAGAGTGTTTTATTTGTATAATATTTCCCATTAGGTTAAAATATCTTATAATTTTAACACCCCTTTTTTTTTATAAATGATTTGTCTTCCCTTATGTATTTTATAGATTTTAACGTATTAGGATGTATTCCAAATATGCGTCTATTTATGTCACATTTGTTATGTGTAATCTTTAGAATTTTGTAATTATAAATTGTACAATTTTTAAAGTGGATAGGAAATTAATAACCAACTAAAAACTTCTATTTCGTTTAACAATAAATCATTAAAATGTATTTAATAAATGTAAATTTTACACGATGGTGAGAGGGCGTTGTTGTCAACGAAAACAATTTTTTTCTGAGCGGTAAAGTTGTGTTATTATTTTTGCCAATCATTATAAATTTTTAAGTAAACGTTAATAATTCGTTAAACGAAACAATTTGCTTTTTGTATCCGTTTAAATATTTTTATTTAAAAAATTATTGGTCCTAAACTTCTACATGATAAAATAGTAGCCAAAATATACAGTAAAGTATTTCAGAAGCTTACAAACAATTGAGTGCAATTTTTAAAAAAATCAAATCAAAGTATTTAGCAATTTACCTTTTGTTAAAAATATAAGTAATACAAACAACACAAATACAATACAAATAATACTTTACACATTTTTCAAAATAAAATATCCATTTCAATTTGTTTACAGATTGATATATTCATTTCCCTGACAGAATATTCCAAAATGATTAGGCCAATTCATTTTCATTACGAGCTTTAATTTGATTACAAGTATATAAAAAGACTGCTTCGGGAGAAGCAGAATGAATGCACATTGAACAAAGATTCGAGATAAACTATATGCACTTGTTATTTGTGCATAGTAAATGTAATTAGTTGAAAGATTATTAGAATATCCTAGTTATAATTTATATATCTAGGATATACTTTGGTGATTTTGAGATTATGTAGAGTTAAAGCTTTCGTTCCTCGGTGTAATTTATGTAAAAATGCTTAATTCTATATAATTGATGATGATCAATAAAATAAAAAAGATGATTGTGTAGTAAGCAACTGATAAACTCACAGCTTTTTAAGCAGAAAAACAGTATTCAATAACAAATGTTTTTTGGTAAGATTTAAGCTCGGAATGAGGAGTTTTGCACCCCAGAATTGTAGATCTTCTATCCAAGCAAAAAAGTCAAAGGAACCATACTTATACGTGAAACCCTTTGTGAGATATTTGCCTCCAAAGGTCAGTTTTTAACATGTATTGGTATACTGCCTATTCTCCATGCTCTGTGTCGTTGAGGCAAGCAATAGTGAGCCTTGACCGATGCTCAGCATGTAGTTGTGCACTTTGGATTCTTGCTATTGCTTGTACCTTGGTGCTTGGATGGGGTGAGCCTAGCATCCCTTAAAACTATATAACATCAAGTACTATATGAAGAATCAAGTAGACTACTTGAATCAGGCATAGTTGTGTAGGCTAAATAGTTGAATATGATAGTCTTAGTGGAGCAACACAACTCGTGATCTTGTGTGACCTGATTTTGGTGGGCCATATCTTGTGAAGGGTTGCTTGTAGAGGTATGATTCCTTTGACTTTTTTGCTCCTATTTTTATGCTGTACAGCTCTGTAAGGGTCAGGTAATGTCTGTCTCATTCAGAGCTTGAATTGAATCATTTTTGATCTTATAATGTTTGATAGATGATCAATATATTTTAGAATACTTTTAAATTAATTAGAAGTGTAGAAAAAAGTTTATTTTTCTCATATTTGAAAAATTAGATGGAAGGTGAATTTATGTTATATTGAAGTTTCGATTGAAAATAAATTTATTTAAAAGTCTAGTCTAATAGTTTTATTGAGAAATATTGTTTATGATATGAATGACTTTGGTTAGCGTTATTTAAATATAAATTAAAAAGATGAAAAAATAAACTAAAGTAAATCATTTTAAAATTATTTTTATATTGTATATAATGTTATCTTAATAACTTATTAGTTTTCACAATCATTGGGTATGTCTGAAGTATTTAAAATTTTAAAAATTAGTTTTATTTCATTCAGTGTAGCAATTTATGTTAGTTTAACTCTTTAAACTCTGAAAAGTTGTTCTTCCTGTGTACCTGGATAAGAAATTGTTTTCATCTTTCAGGCTAGGCTGTAGTGGTGGGGAATGATTCAGTCTTCTTTCCAGTTCAGATTTGCAGAATCATGGTTGTCTTGCTGCTATTATTTGTGCAGTTGTCTCTCAATTATTATGTTTTATATTTGAAATAAAATTATTTGCTAAGAATCAGTTGTTTCTAAATAGCAAATTAATTTGTATGAAGGAAATAATCAAAATGAATATTGCTTGACAATATATACGCGTAGAGCACCGGTCACAGGTTCCAGATAGTGTAACGTTGATTACACCCCTGTGCTGAAAGTAGAATAGTTCCTATAATCAAAATGAAATTAATTTGTGAAGCAAAACCAGTCAAACAGCTTTGCATTTGGCTGACTTAGTATTGAACAGATTAAGGCAATTTTGGTGATCTCATGTTTAAAGAGTTAAGAATACAGGCTGCTCTTTGTTATATAATAACTTGATAATCAATTTAGTTCTACATTTATTAATGTTGGTACCTGGTAACTACATATAGGGTGGCCAGATACTGGCTTCTGGCTGACATTGTTTTTCATCAAGCCAGATGTTATTTTGTCTTTCTTCTTGGGATCTGCTTAAAAATAAATATATAATATTTCAAAAAATTACAATTTTATTTTTATGAAATTAATAAAAAAGTTGAGTTTGAGTTTTTCAAAAGATTAAACTTCAAAAACATACTAGAGGACAATTGTTTTAGGGTAAGGTCCTTGCCAAAATACCTGTCTTGACACTTACCCATGTAGGAAACAGATTTGAAATTTACATAAGCATATATATATATATATATGTAAGACATCACTTTATACATACATATATATATATGTATGTACGTATAAAGTGATGTCTTTTTTTTTTTTTGGAAATAACCATTCTACTACCATACTACCATATGTAAGATTAGTAAGCTTAGAATTAGATTGGCTGTTATGCCAGTATATTTAACTAGCAAAGAATAATTGAAATTAAATTTATCTATGTTCAATTAAATTAAGAACATTTAATATTATCACTTATAGATGTCGATTGTTTAAGTTCATATAATCTAACGTTCAGTTCATAAATGTAATTTGTACAGTGTTATGCAATTTTATCTTTAAATGCTGCTCAATTCACTTTATTTTGATTTAAAATTTTTATGTGTACATTTTTATATGAATAATGTTGAAAAATATTTTCAGGATGGATTCTCCTATTCCATTTAAAAAGCCCCGTCTTGATTATTGTGTTGGAAATAATTACTTGGAAAATTCCAAAAATTCAAATCTTTTATCTAGAAAGGATAATACAGGAAATGAACTGTGGGGAGATGATGATTTTACAGCTGAAGAATTTGATTTATTACAGAGTCAAGTTTCTTCACAGATGATACCAAATACTAATGTGTTTGAAAATAAGAACGATGAGGTATGATTCTTTATATACTGTAATATTGTAATTTCAAGTAATGTTTTAATTGCTTTTTATGGCAGAAAAATAATATAAATAGATAAAATTTTAACCATTAGTATACTGACATATATATTTATTTTTATCAAAATGTAACATAAGTTGTGGAAGATATATCTAAAAATTGATTTTTTAATTACAATATTATCATCATAATTTGGCCATCAACAGTAGAATTTGTTTATTTTTTTTTTTAATTAAAAGTACATACAATACATACAATATGTGTGCTGGGCTGTGAACAACTCATGTATTTGTAAAATCTAAGTGATTCGTACAACATGGAATTCATATAAAACAGAATTATCAACAATGTTATAGGGGGTCGACTGTACTTGCCAAACTTTAGAATGGGGAATAGCTGATTTTTGAATAAAAACTCTGACAGCATAAAAAGTGATAAAATTCTTTTTTAACATTGATATTGCACAATGCTTATATTAAATACCTTTAATAAACAAAATGTTATTTCTGCATATACAGTTGACCCCCTATAACACAGTAGATACGTTCCGTTCTTTATGAAATTGATGTTCTAAGAGTCATTAAATACATGAGCCAATCACAACCTGGTATGTATGCAGACTACGGCTGTTTGAAAGGTTTTCTTCCATAAAATTAATCGATACTAGACTAATTCGACTCAACATTTCCAAAATACGTATAATGTTTTGGGAATAATCCGTATAAATTACACTATAAACAAAAAATTGTAGGATTACTTATCGAGTGTGCACCGTTCGACGACACCATTGCTTAAATTAATTAAGCTTGTTTTCGTTGTGGAGCTTGTCATCAAATGGCACTCGCGTGCTTCCTGATAAATTATTTTTTTGTGAAAAATTTGCTGAACTTTGGAGACATCATTAATATANTAAGCTTGTTTTCGTTGTGGAGCTTGTCATCAAATGGCACTCGCGTGCTTCCTGATAAATTATTTTTTTGTGAAAAATTTGCTGAACTTTGGAGACATCATTAATATAAATATAATTTTTATGGACGTTAAATAATAAATGGTTTTTAGTAGGTCTGCTGTTCGTTTAAACTCAACGGTTTGTACAATATCCGCTATTGGTCTAGATTCGACCAATCCTGTCGCGACACAAGTCAGTGATGATGTTTTATTGAATTATACGAGTTTTTTTTTAGTGTGTTTGTACAAATACTATCGCAATTTTTTCACCATCATATAGGAATCCGAACTATATGAACCTGTGTTATAGGGGGATCGACTGTATCTTATAAAGCTACTGCCATAAACACTGTCAAGAGTAAGGCAATAGCTTTATACTCTTTAACATTACAACTCAAAAAAGTTCAAATATTTTATGGGCTACATCATAAATCTACACCTAGATTTAATGTGTTTCATCTTTGTGTGTCATGAATCTTGATATTCCATGATAAGTGCCTTCTCTTATATGTCCTTGTGTGATGTTTTGCTTTGTTAATAATTTCTTTTGTTACAGTACAGTGTACTCATGACAGTTGCTATTAGTTTGTTGACTTTCACTGCAATTATTAAGAATAATAATTTTTCTGGTTATTTATTTCCTATTTCTGTCTTTTTCTATATTGAATATCTATTATTTTTATCAAACAGCAATGCAGGGGAGGCCATGCAATGCTGTATGGTTAAACCATCATCACTTTTACTATTTTACAAAGATTTGTGATGTTTGTAAAATAGTAAGGCTGATGATGGTTCTTTGAGATTTGTGGAACTTTACAAAGATTACATATCTTTGTAAAATTCCATAAATCTCAAAGAACCATCTATAAATCAAAAGAACCATAGGTTTTTTTCTTGAGAAAGTTCATACTGTATGGCCTGTATATTCTTAAATAATGAATCAAATGTTTCTTAGTTTTGGGAGGAGAAACTGTAGTACTGCTCAATAATTTGGTATAACTGTAAAAGTAACTTGTTTCCTTATGCTGATGGTAAAATTTAACAAGATAAAATGGGTCATAATTGATTTAACCATCAACATGATGACACTAAAGTTGCCAGACTTGAAGATGCAATTTATCTTATCTGCCATTTAAAATTATCACATTTGAGCTAAAATTCTCATACATATACCAACATGCATATATAAAAATATCAATCTTGGTTCTTTCCCAATTGAACAAATCTGAGAACATTGTTCTGATTCACTTTCATAATAAAGTCTTTCATAATAAAATACATACAATGTGTATTGGTGTATGTATTGATGTTAGGCATATTAAGTGAAGTGTTTACATGATAATTCTTTAAAAACACTGACCTGTCCACTGACAGAACAGACAAAATTCTGCTAGTCAGTGCCAAATGCTGATGGTTGGCAACTACGGAAGCAGTTTTGGTATGGGTCATAGACCTCTTTCTATCCAGAGAGTACTTAGAGGTGATAGAATTATTTTGTATTAACATTTGATATATAAACAATTGTTACATTATTAATATTTTGAAATGAGTTGGTTGTTATTATCAGTACAGGCAAAGAATTGTGATTAAATTATGAAATAAGTTCATCATAATTCTTAAAGATTATTCTTGAGACATCCCCAGCATTAACAGTATTATAATAATGAAATTAAACTATCCGCAGAAGCATGAACAAACATAAAAAGTTTTATGGTGTTAGCAATATATAATTTTTTTATATGAGAAATACAGTGGTACCTCAGGTTACGAACGCCCCAGCATACGAAATTTTCAGGATACAACATGAAATTCGAACATATTTTTGCTCCACGATACGAACAAAAACTCACCATACGACGTTACATTAGTTCGCATTTTTCATTTGTTTTTCTTACTACAGTTATTTTTTTAATATATTACTTGGCTTTAATTTAAGTATGTTTTTCGCGTTGGAACGAATTATTTGGTTTTACATGTAATCGTATGGGAAAAGATGATCCACCTTACGACATTTTCATGATACGATCTCAGTTTCGGAACGGATTAATTTCGTATCTTGAGGTACCACTGTATGTTTTTAAGCTTAACACTAAAGTTTTTCTCTACATATTTATATTTTTGATTGTTTAAGATGACATTCTAAAACTTTACAGACACAATTTGTAAAATGCAAAATATAAAAAAATGAAAAATTGACAAATCACTCATTACTATGCAAAATATTTTAACTATATTTTTTAAAAAGATGAGATGTATTTGGCCTGTATTAAATAATTTTAATCATATATGAGGATATTCAGCTAACCATAACATATTTTATAACATAGGTCTTTTTTATCATATGTTCTTTGTTTTTTACTAAGTAAAGTAGATTTTTTTTTGTTAAATTTTCATCTATATTTAATTATATATTTTTTAAAGCATAAGTAATTTTACATTATTTTAACCAAAGAAATAAATAGATTTTTTTTAGTGCTTGTGTTGGAGTAATTTTTGTCAAAATTATTGATATTAAACAAATATATTAACTGAAATCTGTAGCATTATGTAGTTATTTTTAATATACTGGCAATTATAAAATCAAAATTTAGTTAATTAATTGCTTGATGAAGACTGGTTTTTAGATTTATATTTTTTATTGGTGAGAAATTGATTTTTGAACTGATAAAATGTTTTTTATTTTTTGTTTAAATATATTTGTAATTTGTTTTTGATGTAATATTAATTATGAATTTTTTAATATTGTGTTCATTTAAAGATTTGTAGTCAGTTCTCAAAATTTAACAAGATAAAATATGATTTTCCAGAAGTTCAGATTTTGGAACTTTATTATGCTAAATAGCCAAGTATATTTTGTTGTTTAATTGATTTGCATTTGGTAATTATTAATCAAGTAGTAATTTTGATAGTTTTAGTTTTTGAAATTTTTTATTGTATTATTGTTTTGTTAACATATTATTGGAATTTATATTTGAATTTTTGAGAACTGACTGCATGGATAATATCTGATTTGTTTAGTGTTAATGGAAATTAATTCAAAATTATTTCAATCTTTTTAGTTACAAAAGTTAAAGGAACAAAATTATGCTCTAGAAGGACAAATTAAGATGCTTCGTAATTCTCTTGAACAAAACTTGAAAGAACTAGATAAAGAAAGATTAGAAAAGATGAGTTTAATTGAAAATTATTATGATCAACAAAAAGAACAACAAAAATCATTTAACAAAATCAAAGAACAATTGGAAACACAGTTGAATTTTAAAGTAAGATTTATATATTTTATTCTATATTTTAAACAAATTATGATAATTTAATATTCTATTTAACATGACATCATAGTCACATAGATAAAGTTAAAGAAATATAATAAACAACTAATAAAGTTTAATGAAATGTTTTCGCTTGTTTCTTATTAGCTTATTTTTAATTGACAATATCATATTATAGATGTAAAATATACACTCATTCCCTTATATATGAGTATTGAAAAGTTTTAGCTGGCATGCATAAAATTCAATAAAACACTTTCAGTTTAGTTTGAATTATTTACACATTATAATACATAATTATTCAGAGCTTTTCTATGCTGTAATGTTCTGCTGAAAAAATAAAATAAACTTACAAGAGAGTCAACAGAGATAAAACATTTCTTTTAAATGAAAACAACATGAAAAGTTATAATTTAACAAAAAAGAACTACACATAACTAACCTTCCAAACTTAATGGTCAACATCCACAACCTCTCAAGCAGATGACAGTTTGAAGCCAAATAACTTATCACTCCCTCAACATGTTTTTTATATTGAAGGGGTGACATATATATATATATATAAGGGATGACATATATATATATATATATATGTCACCCCTTCAATATATATTTTATATTGAAGGGGTGTANCCTGTAAATCATACTTTTCCTGTTAGCAATGGAATCGTGCCCATTATCTATCTAACTCCTTTTGAGGGAAATTTTTAAGTTGAAATAACATGACTTCTGGTGTGCATCAGAAGTTTTTATATAGTTAATGGGAGGGTCGTGCTTCTAATCTTTCCATATCTGGTCTCAGTTTTCATCTATGTAACTCTGTTTTCGAGATTAAGGAAGCACGGGCAGACAACAGTGGTAGTTTATAGGTCTACAATTTTTTCAAATTGCAGCCCAATGATCATATAAAAGAATAATTAGGTTTGGATTTAAAAGTAAACAATTAATTACTTGTTATTATGTTTATTTTATCAACACACCCTCCAGATTAACCGACAAATTCCTAAATAATGGGAATGTTCTGTAATTTGATGTGTGGTAGATAATAATAGGTTAACAAATTACTTTTAATTGATAAAAACAATATTCACTACACACCAGGAATGTTATAAGGGAGAGAAATCACACTTAACCAACGTTAAAAATACGTATTTATTAAAAATTGCAAGTACTTTTGAAAATATCCTTCATCATCAGGCAAAAATCAAACAAGAATTTTAAACACAAGAGTAGAACATAAATGTAATGTTCCTTTTTAATTCAGTTAAGGCACAAGGTTGGAATATTAAATATTCAATTAAAAAGAAAAAATTGGAACAGTCTAATAAAAATGTGATGCATGTGAAATTATCAACAAAAATATAACTCTCAAGTGAAGATCTTTAGAAGAATGTTAATTCTTGACAGTTGTAACGAACAGTATATTGAAAAATATAAAAACAATAAAAAATTATACTTCAGATGTTAATTTAGTATCAAAAACGTAAAATATTTGAGTAGCCCAAGAAATAGCCGAAGATTGCAGCGCCACAGCACTAGCAAAAATTTAAATTTGTCGACTGGAATGCTTTCGGATAACAGGCGTTTCGGATAACCAGCTTTCGGATAAATGACGCTCTACTGTATATATTTTGTTTGTGAAGCATAAAAAAATAATTTTTTACGATACAGTAAACACGATTATTATTTAAAAAAAAAAATTTTGGCTTAACATCAACGAAAATTCAACATGGTGTCACAGGCAACAAATAAAAATTTCAACATCGAATAGGTTAATGTAGCTCCACAAGAAAAAGTAATGGCGTTAAATCACACAATCTCAGTGGCCAGTTGACGTCACCGAAATGTGAGATAACCATGCCATTGAATTTGTCGTGCAGAATATCCATTGTTGCATGCTGTGTGGCAAGTAGAGCCGTCTTGTTGGCACCACATGCCATATCTTCCAATTTAGGCCACAGAAAATTGGTTATTATCAACCTGTACCTCTCACTGGTAACAGTTATGGCGGTTCCAGCTTTATTTTAGAAGAAGTATGGGCTAATAACCCCGCTGGACCAAAATCCATACCAAACAGTGACTTTTTCTGGATGCATTTGCAACTGATGGGTCTCATGTGGATTGTTATCTCCCCAAATGCAACAATTTTGCTTGTTGACATAGCCATTCATCCAAAAATGGGCCGTGTCGCTGAAGATGATTTTCTGTCTGAAATCGGGGTCCACTTTAAACTGCTTGTGAGCCGTCAGCAAATGCTTGATGTGGCCTATGGTTGTTTACCTTCAGTTTTCGGGTCAATTGAATTTTGTACAGTTGTAGGCCCAAGTCCCGACACAAAGATCACCAAGTTGATGTTTGCAAAAGGCCAAATTCTTGGGCATAACGAGAAATTGACTGCTGCGGGCAATCCTGCACACTCTTGTTCACTGCAGCAATGTTGTTTTCTGCATATCTTGCATTTCGACAATGTACAGGTGTTGTTTGATTGTTTACTGAACCAGTTGATTTGAATTTGTCCACCAGATGACAAATAGTCAACTCAAGAATACAATTGTGTGCACTGCAAAAATCACGTAGCACACAGAACGTAGCTCAAACTAAGCACTCATTTTGATAGTAAAGTTTAATGATTTGCACACATTGCTCAACACTGTAATTTTCCATGATGATTTGCTCAACATTAATTACTATAACCTGCAAATTTGACAGCTGTAGCTTCACTAACATGGCTTCTATACTCTGTCAAAGTTTAAGCGCCTCTAGCAGAAAACCGTTTACTATAAAATAAATGTAATGTAATGTGAAATATGTTGTAATGAAACCTTTTAAATTGTTTAATTGTCTTAAATAATTTCATAAAAGTTAATCATGTAAGTAGTTTCTCTTAGAATGATATTATTGTTAACTTAAAAATTAAGTTTTCTATATTGTTAGGATAATGTATTTCCAATTTTATGTATTTAATTAGAAACAATACATAATCTTGATATGATATTGTTAACATTCCATTTATAAAATTTTTAATGTTGTTACTCAATTTGATTTTTTAAAATTTCATTACAAACATTCATTATTAATAATGATGCAACGAATATTCGGTTACTATTCGGTATTTGGCCTATGTTTCGCTATTTGGCTGAATACCGAATACATAATCACTATTCGGCTGAATACTGAATACCTAAAAGCAGGAGTAAGAAATAACAAAAACACAGTAAATTACTGTAATCATTTTTATAACTTTTATTAATGCTGAACATACAAGTTTAAGAAAGTGCAATTTTTTTCTTATTTATGTAAAAGATCAAAGGAAAAGTAATATAACTAAGTTATTTTTTTAAGAGATCAAAAAAAGTTAACAAATCAAATGAAAACTACCTAATTATTATGTAGTTTAGTCATCTATATACTCATGTATAAAAGAACAAGTCCTGAAGGATAATTAACGCAAAGCCAAAACTACTGGTGCTTGAAACTTAAAAATTTGAGGGTGTTCGTTTTGTAAAGTTTAAGCGTGCTAAGAAAAGATTTTACGAAATTCAACCCTAAAGGGGTGAAAAAGGGTAAAAAATTTGTATGAAAATTTTTACTGCGTGGGCACATTAGATCGAAACTTAAGTCATAAAATGTGAAAAAAAAAAAATTAATGATCTGTAAAGCATTTTTATGAAATCATCCCTTATTATAAACTTGAAAATTAAATTAACTTTTTTGTTTCATTGTACAAAATTATTTATCATAACTGAAGTTCCAGTCAGCTTAGTAGCCTGAACAGCCCCAGGCTTTTGCCCATGTATGCTAACTGACTTTCATTACAAGCATTTAGCTTTCTGAAGTCTATGAGAACAATTATTTGGCATTGAAGGCTGCAAATTTCGCACCAATAAGCTGCCTTGACTTGTTCGATTATGTTATCAACTCAATTTCATATTTATTTTCACTTTGCAGTCCTTCTCCATTTTTTTTTTGTTATTTACACGTGTGGATCATTTCATTGTTATCCACATTTGATATTACTTATCACATACTGCCATGACACTGTAGTGGTTTCCCGTAAGACGAGGCCTGCAGGGCTAAACAAAATTTAACAGACAAGTTGGCCTTACAAATATAATAGCTTTTAATTAATTACTTCCCGTTGCTATGATTGCAATGTATACATAAAACACAAAATTGACAAATTTTCACAGTATTCACATAACAAGGTAAGATACTACACACGTTATGCACTTCCCTCCTCTCCTTTAAAGGGGGCTCAAGTCATGTTATAAACAGGGGAACAAAGAAAGGCGCATAACAAGGAATAATTCACAAACTAGTCTTTTCGGATGAATCCTCTGATGATTTTCTTTCCCTCTGACACATCGTAGCTCTATGTAAAATCGTCGTTATTTGGATGAAAACGGATTGCCGTATCTCTCTCTCTGTCTTCGTTTTTGACCCTTTCGATCTTGGCATCTCGATCTCCTATACACATGGTCAGAACACCGCCAAACCCAGAACAAGGAAAAAAAAAATGTCCCCAGACATGTGGGTCACAACCTTTTATACCACGCCAAGCAAATATCCTCTTCACATGACTACTACTAACCAATCCGACGGCCAACATAGGGTGAACCCGGGAAGGGTGATGCAACAAACAAAACGAAAGGGGTTGGGGAAAAAACCAAAACAAAAAAAAATAGTTGCAAAGCACTACAACACTCATGTCTGTTTGTTACAACTGTCAAGAATGTTAATTCTTGACAGTTGTAACGAACAGACATGATTGGCAAAGTGTAGTGACAGCAGACCAATAGAGAGAAGGGTGTGCAATCCTTGCCATAATGCGATATGTGCACCAATTTTCATACATTCATTAATCAAGCCAAATAGTTTGGTCGAATATTCGGCTATTTGGCCACGCTCCTGGCCGAATATTTGGTATTCGGCCTGAGGCTGAATATACTATTCATTACAGCACTAATAATTAAGTATCAATCAGTTGTAATTTAACAACATGCTGTATTTTAGATCAGTATGACTCGTTACAGTGCAAAGTCATTTATTACTAACTTTAATTGATATTAAAGTCTTTTCACATTAAAAAACTGAATGGCTATCTGGAAAAACAAAGTAAATGCAAAAGCTGAACTTTTAGAAAAATGCAATTTACGATATCATTCATTAGGGCTTATTTTTTGTATGGATCTTTTACTTTTTAGTACCTGAAATACTTCTATTTAACTCTTTCCACTCTGTGGGCACAAAGAGGTCTTTTTTTTTAGCAAGTTCATAATGGGTTTGGTCAGGTCTACAGTAGGGCGTTAGGACAGCGAGGGTCAATATATCCAGACAATCACCCTTTGAAAATTCCTGGGGTTTTTTGTGAACATCATGCAACAGCTCAAAAATATCAGACTTTTTAGTCAAAATCCCCACTAATAAATAGTGATAAATATTGACAATAAATAAATAATTGCTGCAAGAATTTTATAAAAATTAATAGAATAGAAAAACTGAAATTCATGGATTCTGATAAGATAATACAAGAAAGCTATTTTGACATTTAAGATATTTAAATACTCATTTCATAAGTGCATTTTTTTTTATAGGATCACGAATTAAGAACTACGGTAGAAAAATTGACTATCTTGCAACAAAAAGGAAAAAGTTCTGCAGAAATATCGCCAGTTAAAATTGCCAATAATTTTTCTGTTGTAGATACTTTAAAAAATTCTGCTAATAAGTAAGCATTAATTTCTTAATATTTATAATAAAATATAAGAATTAGTTTAGTTGTTATATAAATGTACAAGAATAAGTTTAATTTTTAAAATTTAATATTTTATAAATTGTTATTGTAATTTAAAAATTATTTTTATTGTTTTTCAATATTGTACTAAGTTTTCTAAAGAATATTCTATTCAATTCAAAACTAAAAAAATTAAATTAGTTTGAAAAATGCAATAAATTATTTTTAAAAAAAGGGTGATATAATTGAGGACTAAAAATTCTGAGCTTATATTAATTAGATTATATATGCTATGGAATCTCTACTCTCTATTATTTCATCAGTAAGTGTTTCTGATATAAAATAAGTTTAGTTTTGCAATACTGAATTTTATTCCTGATTGTATTTATTAATGGCATTTATATAAACATTGATACCATGACCGTTTGTTTAGCATTATTGTTTCTTTAATAATTACATTTAAAGACAAATACTGTAGAGATAAAAACAAAATATAAATTGCAATTTTATTATACTGTTATTTCATAATAAATTGCTTATTAAAAATTTGTGTAATTTATCATATTTTTCAATAAAAATTATAAATACAGTAATTGAAAATTTAAAAAATAAACATTGAACATACAATAGAATATCAAAACTCATAAAAGTACAAACACACAATTCTCCTGAAAGCAAAATACAGTAACTACTGTATAAAACTTAAAATTTTCCATTTAGAAATCGAGAAGGCTTTTCATTGTGAGCAAATTATTTTTATTGCAATGAAGTAATGTTGTAATTTCTGTAAATTGTTTGAAAATATTATGAAAATATTCTTATGTCTGTATACATAGTCTAATGAAATGCCAAAAGACTTAATCATGACATTGTATTCTTTAATTGTAACACAAGTATTATAATTATATTAATAAACACACAATTATTTATTATAACATGGTCACAATGACTGGCTTTAATGTTTAATTTATTTAATTTAAAATATATGTTCTCCACCTCAAATTAGTACGGTCTTGCTCCTGTAAATCATACTTTTCCTGTTAGCAATGGAATCGTGCCCATTATCTATCTAACTCCTTTTGAGGGAAATTTTTAAGTTGAAATAACATGACTTCTGGTGTGCATCAGAAGTTTTTATATAGTTAATGGGAGGGTCGTGCTTCTAATCTTTCCATATCTGGTCTCAGTTTTCATCTATGTAACTCTGTTTTCGAGATTAAGGAAGCACGGGCAGACAACAGTGGTAGTTTATAGGTCTACAATTTTTTCAAATTGCAGCCCAATGATCATATAAAAGAATAATTAGGTTTGGATTTAAAAGTAAACAATTAATTACTTGTTATTATGTTTATTTTATCAACACACCCTCCAGATTAACCGACAAATTCCTAAATAATGGGAATGTTCTGTAATTTGATGTGTGGTAGATAATAATAGGTTAACAAATTACTTTTAATTGATAAAAACAATATTCACTACACACCAGGAATGTTATAAGGGAGAGAAATCACACTTAACCAACGTTAAAAATACGTATTTATTAAAAATTGCAAGTACTTTTGAAAATATCCTTCATCATCAGGCAAAAATCAAACAAGAATTTTAAACACAAGAGTAGAACATAAATGTAATGTTCCTTTTTAATTCAGTTAAGGCACAAGGTTGGAATATTAAATATTCAATTAAAAAGAAAAAATTGGAACAGTCTAATAAAAATGTGATGCATGTGAAATTATCAACAAAAATATAACTCTCAAGTGAAGATCTTTAGAGCAACTACAAAGTGAAATGCATAAATAATTCTATTCATAGATGCAGAATATTGATTGTAGGATTTTACAGGGTGAAAGCAACACCATATAAAGTAGGGTTTCTCATTTCCTGGTCTTTTGCTTGTCCTGGGATTCCGTGATAAAAGTGAACTGTTTCCCGTGATCCCGGGAAATCCTGGGATAGAATTAATTATTTTTAAAATATAATTATTTTTCATTTTTTAAAGTAATTTAATACGTTCTGTAACCTCCAAAATCATATTAATAATGCTGTGTAAGATATATAATAAAAATTTCCTTGGAATTATGTATAAATTTTCACAAATAGAAAAAAAATTATTAAAGTTTGCTGGAAACTGCATACAACAACAACAACAACAACAAAAAAAAATGCTTTGAATTGAGTTAAAAATTAAAAAAAAAATGACTTAGATCAAACTTCTAACTTAGAAGGTAATTTCTGTTTTTTAAATAAAATATAATACAAAATATTGTAAACTTTTATAAGATTTTAAAAAGCAAAAATGATCAATACTTTAATCACTCAATCGAATTCTTATTTTAATAATGAAAAGTCTTGCTACCGAGATTGCCCTTTCCAATTCAATTGATGTGATTGGAATCATATTTAATGCATTTAAGAGAAGACAGATATTATGTGTTTTTTCACCTGTAGCCTGGAAGATTTCTAGTTTGTTTTTGAAATTGTAGTACTTCTTTTGCTCTAGTATTCTTGATTTGTCTACCTCGGCTGCTTTAATAGCAGCATCAAGCTTATAGCTCAGTAATTCGGCAATTTGTTTGGCTTTAATAATCAAGTTTATGAAGAAAAACTTCATACTTGCAGACTTCATACTTGTTTGTGTGAGCGGCTCATCGAGGATAATGAGTACTCTGACTTCAGTATCACTTAATCGGCGACACTTTATTTCTTAGAATAGCCCTCTGTTGTCTAAAGGATGGGTTTCCATTCAAAGAAAGTCGAGTGTGGAGAGACTTACAGATTGAAGGTTAATGCAAAGCGGGATTAGAGGATTTCGTAATCACTCGTTCCCTCGTCAGGATTCCCGACATCAGTTAATCAATTTTGTGATACGCGGATTAACACGTGTATTGAGATGATCCAGAAATGCATCTCTCGGGGTGATTCAGCTATGAGGAGACATTCTTTAACAATGATAAAACAAAAATTTAATGAACAAAATAACAAAAATCATACAAAGTGGAATATTTAATCTAAACGTATCGAGAGAGAGAGCTCACAATTTTTTATCATAATCATACTATCTCTGGATACTTTTTCTCTTCTTCATGTATCTTTAATGAGGGACTTCAGTCTTTTCCAGGCAGATCTTGCCTGGCACATATTTATAGGTTTTCTTCCCTATTTACTGACCTATCGACACACAGGAGTCTAATATGGGCGTTGGCCTTCAGGAGATGATCTGAAATACGTCTGTCTTCTAGGAGATCTTCTGGTGTACTCCCCGAATCATGCAAAATTCTTCCTATTTCTCACAATTGTTCTCCAATCAGCATGTTGGATTCTCTCATGTGAACAGAGGAAAAGGGGATTTATCAAGGGGATAACAATTCCCAGGGTGACTAAGATTTTAGCAGATAAGGGGAAAACAAAAGGATGTTTCAACTTCCGTTGCAGGAAGTGTCTTTTATCAGTTTCCCTTGTTTAGAAAAACCTAATTTTCCAAAATCAAAGAATATTCTTCATTTAAAATTAAACTTTTTAATTAAACTATTAATTAGTCACAGGAGTTATTCAGATCTCACATTTGTATCCTTGCCCAATTTGCACAACCTGGCGTTACACAGTTATTTAAGCTACTGGGCATAATTAAAAATTAAGACAGTATAAGCACAATTACTTCAGAGTCCTGCCACATATAAGCTACATATTGATTATTGACCATTTGTGACATACCATAATGAGCAAAAATTAAAAAAAACTAATAACTAGGTTTAAAATTAATAAATACAAATGTATTCTGACAGTGTATGAGTTAATTATGCTTTCTATTTGCAAAATTCATCAACCTTAACACAAAATAAGAAAAAAGTGAATTTTTAAGAAATTTGTGGGATTTCCCAGATAAAAAAATTTTCCTGGAATATTTCCCGGTTAAAAAAAAACAACCAGGATCCCAGAATCCCATTTGAGAAACCCTAATATAAAGTATGTCTTTGAAAGTACTAGTAATTTTTAATAAGTACATGTTTTTAATGTCAGTTAACTATGATTTCTCTCCCATATAACAAATTACTTTACTTTCTGTTTTGGAGTATAAAATTCAAAATATATTATATCAATTTTATTCATATGTATTATAAGAAATTTCATGAAAAAGATTATAAAAAATTTTATGATCATTGTCATAGAGTTATTAATTCAGTTGGAAGTCCTAATTAATTAATAATTAAAATTTGACATTTAAATTGGTATCAATTATTTTTCTTTGTTCTCAAATATTTTATAGTATCTATAATTTATTTTTTAATTTAAACAAAACTATATGATTTCTTTACAGGACAGAAAGTTTTGCAAAGCATTCTAAGAATTTTAATGACAAAAATCTTGAAGAACTTGAAGAAAATAAATGTTATAAATTAAAGTTGTGGTCCAAATCAGGTATTTCAAAAGATTTTTTTTTTTTTGTGATATATCAATAATAATGATCATAAATGATATTTATGCTGATAGAAAACCTTAAATTCCAAAACTTATTCAAAGGAATAATTATATACAATGTAATAACAGTTAAACTATCAAGTGTTACAGTTTTTTGTTGTAATTTTTTGTCTAAAGCCCCTTTATTTTTTTTTAAATAATTAATATTGTCTTAATATCAATGCTCTTTATGTAGAAATTATCTTCCTGATATTTTCTATTTTAAAATGTTTTTTTTTTATATAGAATAATGATAGATGATGCTTTATATTTTTGATAAAATAACAGGCTAAAAACTTTTTGCCAGTCTGCAAACATTTTACGAGTCTGACGTGTCTAAAAGTTCTGGGAAACATTATTATAAAATATATATTGTAACTTAAATTATTATAATACACTTATCGTATGCATTTTAGTTTAACTATTTTTCTCAAAATAAACAACATAAAATTATATTTTTATGCTGCTTATTTTATTATTTTTGTGTATAATATATTTTATAGATTAAAATTTCAAATGGTATAAATTATATGAGATGAAAAGATGAAATGTTTTGAAGAGCTCAATAGTTCTGCTTGTTTATATTTTTAAAAATTGATGTAAGGATGTGGAGAATTGAGCCCAAACATTATTTTATTTTCTGAAGTCATTATATTTTTTTGATTCTTTACTTATTTTTTGGGGAGTTAATATTGTTAAAAGGGCAAAAAATCTGCATCCTCCATTAAAAATTAATCTCAGTTAATAACTGATAGCTTTATTCCTGGCCTGCTGACTTAAACGTAGCAGACCCTAACTCTAAATGCACAGTGAGTTGTTGACCTTTTATTATTATTATTTTTTTTTTTTAGGTGTCAGAATTTTTCATCGAGCTATTTGGACTTCAGTAGCTAATATTGAAAGATTGTTTGCGGGCCACATAAATTCATTAGACGGGTTGGATCTGGCCCGGGGCCATATGTTAGCCATGTCTGCCCTAACCTGTTATAGCTTAAGTCAGCAGGTCCCAGTCGAAAATGGCATTTATGATTTGGTGAATTAAAAAATGGTCATTAGATGGTTATGTCACAGGATAATTTAATTAACGTAATAGTAATAATGTTTTGTCATATATATATATTATATA